ACACCTCTCTGGGAGCATGGACGCATCTGTGGGCTCCCACGCACGAACAGACGAGGGCCAGAGTGAGTCTCTGCAGATGGGCAGTTACCCCCCCCCCCCCCACAGGTCCCTCTGGGCTGGGCAAACCACCACAAAAAATCTGAGCTGCTGTATTTCTGCACTGGTATCAGGGTACTTGGGGGCGCGGCCACAGAAGCAAGCTGTGTCAGACTCTGCAGTGGTGCTTCAAAGCTAATAAGCCCCCACCGACATGCTCAGACCCACAATTCGCAAAAATCTGCTTAGTTTATGGGGGGGGGGGGAGGAACAGGCGGGGGCACACCCAGTGATGTTCAGAGGTTACTCCTGGCTCTGTGCTCAGGAACCACTCTGGCAGATTCAGGGCACCATGTATCGAACCCGGGGATCAAACCTGGTCCGGTTGTGTGCAAGGCCAGTGCCCTACCCACTGTACTATCACCCCGGCCTCTCATTTCTTGCTGGGAAAAGGAAAACAGGGACTGGGGAAACGGGATGGGGGTCAGAGTGCTCGTCTCGTCTGTGATCAGCCCTGGCTCGATTCCAACCATGTGTGGCCCACAAACTGAAAAGAGAAGAGGAACGGAGGAAAGAGAAGAGAAGAGTTGAATTTAGGTCTCGCTGAAGAAAGGTCAGAATTTTCCACAGTGCCTTAAACTCGTGCACTTGGAAATTCTTTCCAAAGACTGGCTTTGCTGGAGCTGAACTTCGGCCCTTGTTGTTTATGGGTCGCCACTGGACCAATGATTCTCAGGGAGGCCATGCCCGGAGCCGGCCTTTCGAGAGAAACGCCTCCAAGTCCTTAGGCTGGAAAGACGGTCCCACCATTTGCAAACCCTTCTGGTGGATCTGAGGGTCTGAAAGAGCTTCAGGGAGTATGTGAACCACAGCGGGGTTCTGACTCAAGCAGCCTTTTAACAACTACAGACACTTCTCTAATCAGCTGAAACAAGACAAACTACTTCGTTTCCACCGCAAAGCTGGCACACCCCTCCCCAGCTTGGACGGTCCTTCGGTGAGAATCTCATCTCTCCATTTGTAAACTGCGTCGGACAGGGGACCCACTCCTTGGCCCACACATCTGATGGTTACCCAGATTAAAAATTCTTCTTCCAGGGGCCAGAGAGAGAGAGAAGGCGCTTGCCTTGCACGCGGCTGATCCAAGCAAGATCCCCGGCATCCCATAGGGTCCTCCAAGCATTGCCAGGAGTAATTCCTGAATGCAGAGCCAGGAGGAACCCTGAGCTTCGCTGGGTGTGACCCAAAAAGAAGGAAAAAAAAATGTTTTTAAAAATAAACAATCCGACAGGAGGCAGGTTGGCTAGGAAGAGTAAGAGTGATTTTTACATTCTAAAACAGAGAGAAAACAAAGGTACTTAGCTGGCTCTCTTCTCTCGGAAACAGAATGAAGGCAAACATTCTGAGGGCAAGAACATAAACACGACAACCGTGACTGGCTGGACCTCCCAATTCCTGTAACGGAAGTTTTTCTTGCATGCCCAGACACAGGGCGACTCTCCCGGGGAGCCAGCAGTTGAAAGCAGCCAGGCTGACTGACCTGGGACTGGCCGCAGGGCCTCCCCAGCAGCAGCGGGGACCACCAGGGCTATACTCAGGGGGCCTGGGCGGCCACGCAGTGCTGGGAATGGAAGCCCAGCCCCGCGCATGCCTGGAGTGGGCTTGGGTGAGACACAGGGAGACGGCTGGGTACCAAGCACCAAATGCCATTCAGTAACTGTAATGCCACAGCCATTCATGTACGAAAGAAGTCTAGGAGATTTAAAAATAAAAGACAAAACTAATATAAGCACAAACATACTCAAAACAAATTGTTTGACTTCTACATTTGAACAAGATGAGCTGTTTTTTCATCGAGATCACTTAGGGAAATGCTGGCATCGTGAAAATCCGCTTTTCTGAAATATTCTAATCTGACTTGTCGCTAATTTTAGACACTCTGTTCTGGAGGCATCTGCATCCCAGCTTGGACAGTGATATTTCCCTTCTTTTATGAGACTCTCTTCCTCTCTTCCCCCCCCCCCGCCCCCGAATCTCCTAAATACGCCCATTTCCTTCCAAAGAATTTCACATTAATCTTCTACTATGCGACAGTGAAACATATAGGAAGAGTTTTAGAGACGAGCAGTTCAGGTCTAAAAATATTTTTAATCAAACCAAAGTCCTCTTTTCTTCTTTTTCGCAGAGTTGCTGCTTATTGAGATGTATGTCAGTGAACCTGCAAGCCACGTAAAGACGAGGGATTTGAAGGTCACCGTTGGTGGGATGCAACCTACTTCCCCCAAATACCCCATGCTCTGACCGGCTTCAACCAGTCGCATTTCCCCACTGCCCACTACAAAGACGAGGGGGCAGGCGAGGGGGAACCCCTTCTCCTTTACGTCTAAGGAAAGAAGTTTAGGCAGGGGCTGAGGAGTCGAGAAACGGTGGGGGCGGGGAGGGGGAGAAAGAATCTAAGAGCCAAGAGAAGGTCTGCTCGTCGTCCCACCAGGCCCTCCACCAGGGGAGACGTTCCTTCTGCTTTGAAAGCAACAGGACTGCAGACCTGGGGTTAATGAACTTCAAAATCTTGCCAGTGTCTGGGCCCAAGGCTGGCTGCCAGCACCTCTGAGTCTGTAATTACACGCCAGCAGGTAGAGACTCATAGTGTGTCTATGAAAATTTGTTTTAACTATTAACAAAGAAATATATTTTAAAATCTTCTTAGCCAAATATTTTTCGGTAGCATTTCTAAGATTAGTTATTACTGACTCCTGCTTTTATAAGTGGTTGGCTTCTTTTTTTTTTTTTTGCTCTTACAATGCAAAAAAGTAAAATCCTTATGAATTTTCCTTAACTAAGTTTTAAAAAATGTTCAAAATTCAAGATCAGGAGAGCATAATTTTTTAATTGGGGGGGGTGGTGGTGTTAGTAGAGTAAAATAAACAGGAAAAAGAAAGCTGTTTTCTTTTTTTTTTCCATTGGGGGGGGTCTTCGGTTTTTTATTTTGGGGCCACCCCGCTCAGGGATCAGTCCTGGGAGCTCACCTCTGGGAAGGTGAAAAAATACATTTGTGTGGTGTCAAGTCACTACCTTGGTGGTCCTTTGTTACAAAACCACAGGGAATTCGCGAGAAGGGAGCATGATGGCTGTGCTCTGGAGCTATGACGGAACTGCCCAGGTGAGGATGGGAAGAGGCCGCTGCACTCCCGGCGCCGTGGGGCCGGCTTCGGAGAAGGTAAAGCAGCCACGAGGGCAAGAGGAACATGGTCTCATGTGGAACGGGGTGGGGGGAGCAGCTCCTGCCGGCCCGCCCCTGACTAAGCGTGTGCGTCTCTCAAAGAGCTGGAAGGCTCGGCACCAGTGTCCACAGCCTCAGGGAGGTAAGAAGTCCACCGGTGGAAAGCCTGAAAACAAACTGATTCATCTGCATCCCGTGCTCCCCGAGGTGAGCAAGACAAAGCCTGCCGGGGCGCTGGACCAATCCAGGGAGGCAGAAACAGCCTCAGGTTGAGGACGGGATGGTGAGGTGCCGAAAGAATACAATTGGGGCGGGGCACTGACTGATTTTTTATTTCTGAAAAGAGCGTTGGCGTTCAGATGAGTCTGAGAAGCTCTCATCTGCACAAAAGAAAACGTCCAGATGGTACCCGGACCTGGAAAGATCATCTAAGGCCCGACTCCTTCCTATAAAGGCAGGGGGAAGCCGGATGGAAGCTCTCCTTACCTGGCATCCCAGACAAGCTACGCCCTAGCGGTGCTCAGTGTCTAAATAAGTCTCCCTGCCTCTTCCCTGTCCAGGGACTCCGGCAAAGCAGGGAGGAGGGTCAGGGAGCCTCTACCCAGGCCGGTCTGAGTTTCCACACAGCGTGCAGTTGCTTCCTTCCACCAATAGGTGGTGAGCTTGTGCCGGCCAGGCAGGAACTGCACCAGCAGGAAGATGATACGCTGAGGCAGAGCCAAGAGTTCTGCAGGCCAGAGGGAGTGAGGAGGGCAAGCGAGAGGGGGCAGCCCAGGGCCACGCACAGACCCATTCTCCTGAGCAATCGAACTCAGGCACTGTTGTGGGACAGGAGTCAACCGGGCCACGTGAAGCTGCGTGGCGGAAAGGTCCCAGCAGCTTTCTGCCCTTCCTGATTTTCTCTTTTATTCTTTATTATTTAAAAGGAACCTGTCAACCAAAATAGGAGATTTTTTTTTAATTGAATCACTGTGAGACACAGTTACAAAGCTTTCATGTTTGAGTTTCAGTCATATAGTGATTGAACACCCATCCCTCCACCAGTGCACATTCTCTACCACCAATGTCCCAGTATGGACCCCGCCCCCCCCTTTCCAACCATCCCCCCGTCTCCGTGGCAGACAATTTCCCCCATGCTCTCTCTCTAGTTTTGGGCCTTATGGTTTGCAATCCAGACACCGAGAGGCCATCACATTTGGTCCTTTATCTACTTTCAGCACACATCTCCCATCCCGAACGATCCCTCCAACCATCATTGAGTTAGTGCTCCCTTCTCTATTCCAGCTGCCTTCTCCCCCAGCTCAGGACACAGGCATTCAACTATGGAGCAATTTTCCTGGCCCTTGTGCCTACTGTCCTTGGGTGTCAGTCTTATATTGTTACGTTTATATTCCACAAATCAGTGCAGTCATTCTATGCCTGTCCCTCTCTTCCTGACTCACTTCACTTAGCATGAGACTCTCCATGTCCATCCCTTATAAGCAAATGAAATAGGAGAATCTTAAACATCGCCCTTTTCCTTCTTTCTGCCCCTTCCAGCTCACACTCCATAAAAAAGAACTAAAGAGACAGGCACGCGCATGCGCGCACACACACACACACACACACACACACACACACACACTCCTGCGTGCTTCTGAATTTTTCCAGTCTTCCTCTCCTGAGGGCGGAAAATAGATCAGCCCTTTCTTTCAGAACTTAAGGAAAAGCTACTTGCTCCTTTCACACCCACCACACCCCTCACCTGCAATTTTGATGTTCAGGTTGGCGTCCAGAAGCAAGTTTTCAGCCTTGAGGTCGCGATGGACGATGTTCCGACAGTGACAGAAGTAGACGGCCGTAACGATCTGCTTGAACTTCCTCCGGGCCTCCTTCTCGGCCATCCGGCCATGGGCCACCAGGTGGTCTGCGACAAAGGAGCACGTGGTCAGTTCTCATTTCAGACACGGGCCGCATTTCCAAGGGAGGGGGAGCTTCAGGAGAGACCCCACCAAGGGGACGGGTCAGGGAAAGGAACAACACTGCAAGCAACGCAGGAGCAAAGACGCATCGGGAGCCAGGCCGCATCCTGCTTTAGGCGTGGTCCTGTCCTGTGTGAGGTGGCTTGAGGACACGCTCGCCAGCACAGAGCGGAGCTCCGCAGGGCACATCTGTACGGGCACAGACTCTGCTCCCGGCCCCTTCCTTTCCCTATCCCCGCCGCAAAGCTCCCCTGCGCACATGAAGATAAACATCAGCGATATTTCCTGTGCTCCAGCGTGAGGCAACAAGCAGAGTCACAGTGATCGACCATTTTAGCACGAGGGCAGAAATCAGTCACTGCTAAAGGGGAACGAACTAACGTGATTTAGCCTATTCTGCTTTCTCCAAGGTTTACAACTTGTGTTCTTTAAAAAAAAAAAAAATTAAAAAATCACACACTTGGGGCCAGAGAGATAGTACAGAGGGTAGGATGCGGCCACCTGGGTTCGGTCCCCGGCATCCCATACGGTCCCCTGAATCCTGCCAGGATGACAGCTGGATGCAGAGCCAGGAGTAACCCCTGAGCATTGCCCAGTGTGGCCCAAAAAGCAAAAAAAAATTAAAAACTCACACACTTAGTTTGTGACAGGTCTCTGGAAAGTAGTGATATGCCTGCATCTTTACGTATGTTTGCATACTAAAGACTTCTACTTGGGGGGTCTGGGGAGGACAGCCCCCAGCTGTGCTCAGGAGCTACTCCTGGCTCAGCAGTGATCACTGGCCATGCTTGGGGGTCTACCCCGTGCTGGGATTCAAACCAGCGTTGGCCTGTGCCTGACCTCCTGTAATCTCTCTGCAGCCCTGAAACTGTGTGATTAATCCTTGCAGATAACATCAGTGACGCTTCTACCAGGATCAATCCTTTCATTGGCTAATGCTGCCGAAGGGAAGTCAAGGGGACGCTGGAGCACAGGTGGGGAGTCTGAGCCCATCTCTGCGGGCAGGAGGCCTGGGTTCAACGCCCAACACCGCACGGTCCTGACCGTGGAGATGGGCGCAGGCCCCGAGCACCAAGACGTGTGCTCCACACACCCCGCCCGGCCCAGAGGAAAGGACAGCGAGAGAACTGACACGTGACAAACTCGGCACAACTAGGAATCTTGGGCATTTAAAAAGGGATCAATCCAAATTAGTGCTGCAAGCTCTTTCAAATGCTTAAAGAAGATCATGGTAGGAGGTTTATCCTGAACCAATGACAGACAGGTCCCCCGCGACACAGACGGAGGGGGACCGCTGCTGACACGGACATGAGCGGTGAGCCCGTCTGTTCAACCTGAAACGTCTAGTGGCCTCCTTGGTGCTTCCCTGAGCCACCTGACCGGCTGGGACCAGAATGCAGTTGCCAGCACGAGCGTCCAGGCACGGTGGGGAAAGTAAAACATTTGATCATAAACATAAAGATGCTGTTGTTTAGTAATAGTACCCAAGAGCTTCGGGCCAGCCCAAACATGTGACCAGTCAGGTTTGCCCTGTCCTCATCCCACAGAGGAAGTTCGGCATGAAACACAGGCACCCCCAAGACTGAGAGGTGAGGACAGGAAGTGGGGGGCCGAGAGAAGAGGGGCTAAAGGGCAACCCACCGACAGAACACATTTCAGATCAGCAAAACAACATTGTGACAAGGAACGTAAAGCCTGGGGCAGGGGTGTGGAAAGACAGTTCAGCGGGCAGACTGCCCGCCTTGCTTCGGGCTCACCCAGGTTTGATGCCAGCTTTGCGCAGGGTCCCCTGGGCCCCATCAGAAGTGATCCCCGGAGATCACCCAGGATTTTCATAACACCGTCTGATCAGTAGATCATTTAAATGACTCTAAGTACTACATTATCCATGCCCCCTCCCCCCGCCAAGACCTTTGACGCATCCCCTTCTGAAAGAATCACGGGACCGACAACGAGCAGTAAGAAGCCTTCCGTTTAGAGAAAGCACAAGCCAGCACCAGGCACACACCCGCGTGAATCCGCGAGGACCAGGAGTCCAGTCTCCCACCTCCCCGCTGTCCACGAGGGGTCTGCATCTGCAAACAGGCCTGTCTCTAGAGAGTGTCACGGCCTGTGGATTACGGGGGTTGTTGTCTTTTTAATGGACGCTTTTTGCACTCGGCTGGTAACACGGAGCAGAGCTGCGGAACTGCAAACGAACAGCTGGAGAAAGGACACGCAACGCGTGTGGGAGACGGAAGCGGTGAAGGGAGCCCGCACGGCAGGACGCGAGGGCCTCTGCTGAGCTCTGTCCCGGCGACGCTGAGTGACACAAAGCCCCTCACAGAGGCGGGGGCTCCCTCTGCGCTGCGGGAGAACTGGGCGTCCACCCGAGGCAGAACGCTAGGTTTTATTGGAAGAGACCGAACTCTAACAGTACCTGCTCCTTTGACCCCCTATTTCTCCTAACCCAAGGCCTAATTATTCTAATAATATGTTTTAGTAGCTAAACCTTGTCTAATTAAAGAGCTTTGAAGAGACAGCCATTCTTGAGAAACATAAAAATAAACCCTTATGAAGGTTTACCATCAGAAGCTCATTTGGCCAAGCCACCCATTAATTAAAATGCCCGAGAGACATTTGTCTGGCAGTAAATACTAATTACCAGTACACATCAAAGAGCTTCTTAGATACAAGAGAATGATTAATTTTGTGATTTCCAAAATAAGTGATTTTCTTTTATTAAGAAAAAAAAACCTCTATATTTTCTAAGTACTTTGTTTTTCTAAAATGATTGGGAAGTTCTCAGAAGTGTTCCAAAGGCCAGGAGTGGGTGGAATGCAGCCGCCGTGCTCTGCTTCATCTCCTAGAGTGACAGGCTGCCTGTCCTTGTCAGATCATCCATACCGCTAATATTCCCACCTCTTGGCCTGCTAGGAAGAAGCAAATGCTTTTTATTTCATGCCATGGCCAAGGAAAGGGTACGAGAGTGGAGAATAAGTGTGCCCTTTGATTGGGGCTTCTCTCTCTGACATGACTGTAACTTCAGACACTTCAAAAGCTATTATTTTAAGATCCACTCAAGGTACTGCAGGGAAAGTTTAAGCATCTGGTTATTCATAGGCCACAGAGTTCTCCAGAGTGTTCTTACACGTGATTATTATGTACGACTGTTCCTGCCACGTGCTTCTGGATGAGAGACCTGTGACAGCACTTTGGGTCGAACAGCTCGGACCAGTGTCCTGACACCCGTCTACACCGGCGGGCTGGCACCCAGGGTCATAACCAAGGGGGCAGGCCTAGTAGTTTTCAAAGGCCACTGTCCTAAACGACGCAGAATCTTCTCCAAAGAGGTCTGCATGGGGTTGGAGAGATGCAGACCTCCATCACAGCGGGTGGGGCACTTGCCTTGTACACGGCTGACCCGGGTACAATCCCCTGAGCACTGCCAGGAGTGAACCCTAAGTCAGGAGTAAACTCTAAACCCACCAAAAAAAAAAAAAGGAGGAGGAGGAGGAGGAGAAGATGGAGGAGGAGGAGGAGGAGGAGGAGGAGGAGGACAGGACAGGGGAGGGGAGGATAAGGGAGGGGGGGAGGAAAATCAGACCCAGGGACTGGAGAGAGCTGGGGGGGGGGGATGGTGCTTGCAGGAGGTCGGGTGGGTCCCTACTGCGCTAAGATAGGCGATGGCTCTGGAGAAAGTGCAGGCTGCCAACCTCTCCCTGTGCTGGTGCTCACAGCCCCTTCCCCCAGCAGAGCTGGGCTCTCTACCTCACGCTGGGCTCAGAAGGTTCCCCAGGACCCAGACAGCCAGGTGTCTGTTTTCTTCTTCGTGCCCATCAGAACTCCCCCCCAGGCATTCAGGGTGGGCCCCGGGCTGTGGGGAAGCCTGCTCCCTTCAAGGCAGTATCACTGTTCCCCAGAAAAAAAAAAAAACACAGCAGTGGCCCAGCCATGACCTCAAAACCGTACAGCAGCATTCGGATAAATACCCAAGTATTGAAGGAGGAGAAGGAAACGACATGGCAGCCAGAACCCCTGCTGTGACTCTTGGTCTCGCCAGACACACAGCAGCCCCAGGGACCCCCACAGAGTGGTCCTGCTGCCGCCCGATGTCCTTCCACACACGCCAGCCTTCCCCTGGTACCGCACGAACCCCCGAGAGCCCGGAGTCCGGGCGTGCTGCAGTGAGCGGCCTGGTCCCAGTGCGGCTCCACCCCCCCCCCCCCCCACGACTGCTTATCTCTGCATTACCCTCCTGGGGCCCCGTTTCAAGGTCTTTAATTATAACCTCTCTAACCATTTCACACACCCCCTCCCAAGAATGTGGTGATGCTCAGATAAAGGATTGCGTCCCCTCCCTCGGCTCTGAAACTTCTCTTCTCACTTTCCCATCACGGTCCATCTCCTGGCACGGGATTTCCGCAATCTTCCCCCCGCCCCCCTCCCCCGCATCTACTCTTCCCCACAAAACGGTGAGTCCAACAAGGGACTGATGCATCTCATGAGGAGTAGGGTGAGATGGGGGAGTGGGGCGGGGGGAGAGAGTGTCACGAGGATTCGCCACCTGTCCTTTTGTCCAGATCTGACTCGAAAAGAAGTATCTTGTGGCACATTTAGGTAGAACCTTTCAAGGAGCAAAACACACTGGAGGCAGGCTCAGCCCTGGGCCCCCGTGTCCAGAAGAGTGAGGCAGGCTTGGCCCCGGGGCCCCTGTGTCCACGAGAGCAGGGAAGGCTCGCCCCAGGGCCCCCGCGTCCAGGAGAGTGAGGCAGGCTCAGCCCAGGGCCCCCGCGTCCAGGAGAGCCGCACGGCTGAGCAGTCTCTTTCCTCCATCCAGTCTCTCTCTCCATCCGCCTCCTGACGGAGCCCTCACCCCAGTGGAAAAGGAACATGCCTGGCCAACAAGTGAGGCAGCAAAAAGGGTGTCCTTCTACCTGATGACAAAACGAGCCAGGCCAGGCTG